AACATTGAGGGTCTTGACTGCAATAGTGACCAAGAGCTTGATGAACAGTTTGCGCTTGGACTTAATACCTATGTCAGCACAGCAAGAAAAGGGAGGTTGCCGGTGTGAGATTTGCAAGGTGCATCAGAAAATCCGCAAGCAAAACCAACTCAATTACGTACGTCTTGTCCTTCTTTGTATTCCAGTCAACATCAGCCCCTTCAACTGCATAGTATCAAGAGTGCCGTGGTAAGGGCAATTGCCAGCTTGTCGCTGTTGACAAACTTGAACCTCCCCAGTCAGTGTTCTTGATTGCCGTCTTCATATCCTTATTCATCGGAGCACCTTCATCAGTGGTGACAATTAAATGGACATCGTCTTTGCTACCGATTCATCATCAATAGCATCCGAATCAGTGTGGTTCCTTCCAAACTCAACTTCTCAGTCTTTGCCTGTTCCTCCTCAAGCTGCTTCTGCAATGCTATAACCTTCCTCTCCAAATCAGCACTCTTGCCCTTCTTAGCTGGTGACTTCTGTTGGGAATGCGAAGTACCCCCTTTCCAATGGCAGCACCTGCTCCATTGCGACCTTTGACTTCTTCTTCGGCGCCTTCTCTGGCAGCAGCGGCAGCCTTGGCAGCCCGTCGTTTGCCTACAACTCCATGTTGTTGTTGTTGTTGTTGGAGTCTTTGAGATGCAGCTGATAGACGACGAATATCCCTACCTGCGTGAGAGCTTTCGTCAAGGGGAGTATCCGGTGACAGAGGTGGAGCAGATTGTTGGTCGTTTTTTCGGTGCTTTTTGCGGAGCTTGGTTCCAGATGCACGAGACTGGGTTCCCGATTTGTGACGCTGGCTGGCTGTAGATTGGGAGGACTACCTTGGGAATCGGACAGACTGCTCACCGAAAACTGACGTGCTGGGCTTCCGTTTCTTCTTGGTAGTTTTGGTGAATCCCTATCGTTCGCATGCAAATCGTCTTTCTCGGCCTCGTCGACACTGCCTTGTTCCTCTTCTGTTCGTCCGTGTATTCTTCTTTTTGCCCTCCAATACCTTGACTGTGCTCCTCCGCAGTACCGTAGACTTCCGCTTCGTCGTCTTCGCCCTCCGAAGCAGTCTGCTCTCCAATAGCTTACCACGCCAAGTTAGAGCCAAAAGTCGACCGAAGTGGTATAGGAAGATGATCAAAAACAGGAAGGAAACTAGGTGGAACCAGACCATGTATATATATTAGGAAAAAGTAATAGTTTTAGGCAGACTACTTATCTGGTCCGGAGGACCTTTGTCAACGCTGGTACGAATCGAGCTCGAGGGCCCAAGCAACTGAATCGTTTATGTGGGTGTTCGCAGGACACGAGGGGGATAGCAATCAGTTTCATTGAAACAAAAGGATGTACCTCATATAAGAACGATTGTAACTAGCTAACCAGTCTACGCTCGTCTTTCAACTCCGTCCCCAACGAGAGTGGACAGGTCCTTGTTTCTTCACTATCACAGTGAGTGCTTCCTCGTGGAGTGACCGGGGGCGCAGTGGCCTAATCCAGATTAAGACTAAAATGTGCGATCATCAGTTGCTGTTTCCTTTGGAGTTGTCGATTCGCTGGAGCAGGTTGCTTCTGGAACTCCGTTCGGGCCAGGGAGGTAGATTGAAGCCATCGCTTCGTCTTGTCGATAGTGAATGTAAGGGTGTGGGTTTTGGTGTCCGGGTGGACTCTCCAGTGGGTGACGGGGAGGAGGCCTATGTTGCCTTGGGTGTACTGTTTTCGAACCCTTTCGCGTAGAGTGTCCAGTTGGGATAGTTGGGTGGGAGTGAGGGTATTGCCATGGACGGATTCATTTCGGTTTGTCCAAAGGTTGAAGTGTAGGCTCCAGGTCTGTTTGATGAAGGCGCTGGTAAACCAAAAGGCCAGTCCACTCTCCGTTCTCTGAGTCGGTTGGCAGGTGGTAGTGTTTGGGAATGATTTGGAAGATTGGGAAGACCCTGCAGTAAACAAAGTTTCCACCAGCCCCCATAGGTTGGTTTGGCCTCGGCGATGGCCTCTCGCCGCGGATGAGGTTGGCAAATCTGGCGGTGGTTGGGGTGGAGTCGGTGTCCGCCTTGGGGCCACCGGTTGAGGTGGAGGAGGATTTGTGTTCGGAGTCTGGGGTTGGTGTGCCTCTTCTTCATCCATTTGTTCAGCTCCGTCATTTTTTTCTTCCATTCCGCTGTAGGAGTGGTGGAGTCACAGAGAAGCACGTGGAGAGTGTCTTCATCCTCGAGGCCGCAGGGCGCGCGGACAGTTTGCTGTGGTCTCTGCCACCTTTCTTACGAAGGGTTGCCAATCCGTCCGACCCTCGCAGTGTCCCTGAGGCGAATTAATTGTATCCAACGTTGTGTGCCGAGGGGCCTGCTTCTGAATGCCCGGACGTGGGCAGTCCAGTTGGCTCGTTG